CATCTACACCCTGTGAGGGTACCCAGTCCCCCCTCCTCTCACTGATCCCCATCTACACCCTGTGAGGGTACCCAGCCCCCCCTCACTGATCCCCATCTACACCCTGTGAGGGCACCCAGCCCCCCTCCTCACTGATCCCCATCTACACCCTGTGAGGGCACCCAGCCCCCCTCCTCACTGATCCCCATCTACACCCTGTGAGGGCACCCAGCCCCCCTCCTCACTGATCCCCATCTACACCCTGTGAGGGTACCCAGCCCCCCTCACTGATCCCCATCTACACCCTGTGAGGGTACCCAGCCCCCCTCCTCACTGATCCCCATCTACACCCTGTGAGGGCACCTACAGCACCCAGCCCCCCCCCTCCTCACTGATCCCCATCTACAGTCTGTGAGGGCACCTACAGCACCCAGCCCCCCCCTCCTCACTGATCCCCATCTACAGTCTGTGAGGGCACCTACAGCACCCAGCCCCCCCCTCTCCTCACTGATCCCCATCTACAGTTTGTGAGGGCACCTAGCCCCCCCTCCTCACTGATCGCCATCTACACCCTGTGGGGGTGCCCACAGCACCCAGCCCCCCTCCTCGCTGATCCCCGCCCCCAGTCCCCCTCCTCTTGCTGATCCCCATCTACACCCTGTGAGGACGCCCACAGCACCCAGCCCCCCCCCCCCTTCCTCACTGATCTCCATTGTAATGTGATGTTCCATGACCGTTCAGCACACAGCAAAGTGCTGCTCTTTTAAGTCATGCTATCAAAAGTTGTTAATGGCACCCCAAATGTAGCCCGTTTTCGACCACCAAACTGCATGGTACCACAGTACTATGCCATTTGGTGCGATTCAATTGCAAATTTAGTACTTGTTCCGGTTCAGGGCATTTGGTAGCTCTTTCAAATAAATGGACTGTCAAAACTGGAACTCGAAGGACTATAAGGGGAACTTCCATGTTCCACATGAACCAACACTGCAAACGCAAGAAAACGTGCATGCAGAAGTGAACGCAGCGATTGTGGTGTAAATGAGCACTTATTGTCCGGGAATCTGTTCTGTCTCCATCCTACAGGCTCCCTGGGTTGGCAGTTCCTTCTCTTGGTAGCCACTGTGATAATTGATTAATTCTCCAATCGATCTATGGTCACCAGCCCTTTACATCGATACAACACACACGGTGAAGTGAATTTCGATCAATCGTTTAAATCTGTTATCATGTGACCCCACAATCTGATCAGTTGAAATAGTCGTATTTACAAACAAATGCTAATCAATGCAATATGATCGATGCTTTTTCTGCCCTGGCTGATCAACTTTGTTGGATCTTAATTGATCAGAAGGGATGTTATGGCTATTAGTTCATTTGGATTGAATGGCACATTGATTGGGTAATAAAAGTTTAGTGTGTATTCCAACTTTTCACATGAAGACATCATTCGCACAGGGCATATAAATCTGTGCTCCATGTGAGGGCTGTGTTTACCGACACGGGAATTCACAAGTATCCCATGCAAACAGTTGGGGTGCAAAAGCTGCAAAGACACCGCCACTGCTCCCAGTGTGACATCTGAGTGGGTGCATGGCCCCTGACATATCTTGGGTCATTCGGAGCTGTGCACCTGCACAGATGTCACATTGAAAACTGTGACCTAAGCAATGGGACTGCCTGCAAGGGGATGTATGGGGCACCTGTGCATCCCTCTACAGGTACATGACCCTCCACAGGCACACAGTTAGGTTTGCCCTATGTGACTGAGGCTTAATGCCAAACTAAAATCAGAAATACTTACCTCTGTTCCCATGGTCTGATGAATGTGAGGTCCCTCGCCAGTATCCTCTCACCAGTGTCTTCTGGGTGACTGTCTTGGCCGTCTTGATTGGCAAGTGCAGGATGATATCACTCCTGTGCATGCGCAAGAGTCAAGTCATTCTGGCACACATGCATTGTGCCCGAATGTAAACTGAGGTATGTAAGCACAGTTAAGTGTACATTGTACAGCGGTTTGCAAACGGGCAGGTAAGTGTATTTTATTGGGGAGGAGGCATTGCCTGATTCTTCTGCAACAAAGAGGCTGCCTGTGTTTTCGTTTGTTTGTTTGTTTGTTTTTGGGCGTTTTTCCCCACCTGGTGATATGGCCAATACCAAACATCCTGCATTAGAGTGCCCCCACTATGGATTATGGCACACAGGGGGCACCTTTGGACAGCAGCATGGTCAGTCTGAGGGGAGGGGAGTGTTGGATGTACTAGCAAATTTAGATACACTAATATCTTGAAGCAAAACTACAACTCGCATTGCAGTTAGACCAGCAGTCACAGTAACATTTTTTTAAATCTTTTGGGATAAAGGTTTTACATGAATAGATAAAAGTTAACCATTGTAAGTATTCTTCTGTCATTGGTAAATGGTTTGTCTCATCCCTCTAGCTCAGGGGTGGGCAAACTTTTTGACTTGAGGGCCGCAATGGGTTCATATATTGGACCCGGGTGCCAGACCAAGAGTAGATGAATGATGTGTGTGTGTCATCCATAGTAAGTATAGTAATATTCCCCCATAGTAAGCATAGTAATTCATCCCCCCTATAGTAATTCATCCCCCCTATAGTAATTCATCCCCCCTATAGTAATTCATCCCCCCTATAGTAATTCATCCCCCCTATAGTAATTCATCCCCCACATAGTAATTCATCCCCCCTATAGTAATTCATCCCCCCTATAGTAATTCATCCCCCCTATAGTAATTCATCCCCCATAGTACTATTCCCCCTCAAGTAGTAAGCCAAGTCCCCCATATAGTAATTCATCCCCCCTATAGTAATTCATCCCCCCTATAGTAATTCATCCCCCATAGTACTATTCCCCCTCAAGTAGTAAGCCAAGTCCCCCCTGTATCAATTTACTTACCTTTGCTCCGCGCGTTCCTCTCGCCGTGTTCCCCTCGCTGTGTTCCGGTCTTCAGGGCGGACTGTGAGAGGAGCCTAGCTCCCCTCACGTTCGTCACGCTGCCCCGCCTACACACATCCTGACAGCCAATGTATCACGCTCCGCTGGCCGGATTAAAAGGTCCGCCGGGCCGTAGTTTGCCCATTGCTGCTCTAGCTGATGCTTTTTCCGGAAAGCTTGTTCTGTAAAAAAAAACAAAAAAAAAACAGACTGGCTAAATTAAAATTAATGCAGCCATCACATCTAAGAATTGGTAAGCTGAAATTTAACAAATGTTTGTTTTTGGGTTTGATACTTTAAACCCTTTTCCTGCAAAATGTTTTTTTAAAAACACTTTATATAAAGTAGACCGCAATGAAAAACGTGTCATTTGTCATATTTATGTTACATTACATGCACACCATGCTAGGACATCTCCACACTACAAATGTTTACGATATACTGTAGTTTCAGTGACTGACACCACCTATCCTTGAATCAGTTCAGGTCCTCTGTTGTCACTTCAATAGCTAAAGCTTCTTTGTCCCAGTTTTTATGTATAACAAGCAGGGCAAAACCCATGTACAACAACATTTAAACTGTTTACGGCATGAGAATATGCTTCTGTATATAGATGACAACTGCTGTAAATTAAGTTGGGTGGGGGCGGGGTGGTGTTGGGTGGCCTTTATATGTTAGAGGGCTGGGATGCAGGATCTGATGGGATTCACCAGGGTACTTCTAAGGGAGTGTGCAAAATATGTATTTGAAAAAGTCAAATTAACGCAACAGCACTCACTGATCACCTATATACCTTGATGTGTGACATTTCCTAGCTAATATATGTAGACAATTGTCTCATGTGCAGATAGGTGTCTGCTCCAAGCACCTGACTTCCCTAGTCTTGTCCAGGCATGCCCCCTCTTCCCATCTCCCTTCCTAGGCCTTGGATACAATGTGATACTATTTACGTATTAACAATATTTATGTAGTGCTGACAGTTTACATTGTTTTACGTTTTATTGTACATTAACATCAGTCCTGCCATCAAAGCACTTACAAGCTATGGTCCCTACCTCACATTTATTTATTACAGATATTTTATATAGTGCTGACTTTTTTTTTTTTAAGCACTGTACATATATTGTACTTTCACATGGACAATTAACTTGTCAGCATGATATTGGAGTGTGGGAGGAAACCAGGGCATTCGGAGTAATCCCACAAGGGTGCAAACTCCATACATGTGGTGTCATGGGCATTAGCATGTGAAACCATGTTAGGGGTGCTTGTGGGTTTTATTTTTTTTATTTATTTTTTTTTCCTTCTGGCCTTAACACTATTACCATTTTGTATCAACCATATCACACAATTCTCCAGTACTCTTTAACCTGTTACTTTGTTTGCAAAAGTCATTTTTAATCTTTTAAAACCTGGAGATGTCACTAAAATAATGTTTAGGCCAATGTCGGATGGGCGACTGCTTGTATCAATCTTGCCGCAGGAGATAGTTTGAAATTGCCATCAGTAGGATTGCTAAGTGGCTGCCTGTCTATCCCTGTGGAATCATTGCCTTTGTACTTGAGTTAGCAAGATATCACTCCCATCATTTTGCAACTGAGAATCAACAGTGTTCAGACCAGTGACTGAGTGACATCTGACTGCATCTGTCTACAGAGGGAGCTATTCCATAGGAACAGATGGGCATCCCCTTTAAGTGATCCTATAGCTGGCAACTTGTCTTTAGTTTAAGAAAGTCTGTCTTACATTATGCTTAGTTAAGCTGGCCATACGTGTGTGTTTTTTGTTTATTTATTTTTTTTTTTTTCAGCCTGTGGGTTGAACAAAAAAGTGAGCAGCACCCATGCTGACAGCACAGATAAAGAAATCTGTTGTATTCTGTATAACCGGCACCAGCAGCGGTTAGAATACCCGAACAGCAGCTGCATCTGATTGCAGCCATGGTTTGGTCATCAGTTTGCATCCCATTCAATTTTGAAGAAGGATGGCAGCCGGGGGGGGGGGGGGGGGGGGGCACTTGTTAACATGTCCACTCACAGAGAGAATTTCAGCAGGTTTCTCAGGAGCAGGGGCGGACTGACCATTTGGAAACTCATGCACTGCCCGAGGGCCCAGGGTCAGTAGGAGGCCCCATGAGATGCCCCTGGTACCTTTTTCATAGGCTTTTTTGAATTTGGGCAAGGACACAGGGGCCCCATGATCCCCTATTGCCCAGGGGCCCCATGAGTTGTCAGTCCGCCCCTGCTCAGGAGCCAGCTGAAATTCACATAGCAGGTCCTTGTGTAGGTATCTTCTGTTACATAGTGACTTCACACTACACTCTGTCCCTGTCTCCCAGTTGGCTTCTGCATTGTCACCCTGTCACATGCTTCTCCCAGAGACTATACACAGGCATATTGCACTATTGTCTCTAGGAAAGCCAAGACTGAAAAATGATAGCTGATGCTGGAGTGAGTGCATGCAGACAGGAAATAATTCCAAGAAGCTGAATGGAGATGAGCAGCACTGCGATGTGACAAAAGATTAAAAAAACCCTGAATTTTCTAAAGGGGGGGGGGGGGGACATGGTACTGGTTTGTGGTGCACAATGCTTTTGGCAGTGATGTGTTTCCTTTTATTTAGGTCCCTGTGGTAGGGGTGCACTTCCTGTGTTACCTAATGAACTCAAAAAGGAAATGACTGATAGGCTTACATTGTGCATTTGCAACTGCGCGTCGCTGGTATATGAAGAACAGAAAAGACGTTGTTTGACCTGCCTGTAGTGCCCAACCCTATTGTATTTGTAGTTTAGATCTTTTTGCTTGATTATCCTCACATCGCTATGTTTCATCTTTGATTATTAGGCCCATCATTGTTTTCACCCTGCTTTAGTCTATCGTTCTCAGACCATATGCATAGTTTTATGGTAGGATTATGCCAAATATAAGATCTCCTGCTATTATGGCAATTTTTCTTATTGGTTGAAAGGATTAGCAAAAAGACTATGATTTTCAAATTGATAGCTTAAAGTATATTTTCTCTAGTGGTGTACCAAAATGAAAATTCTTGGCTGAAAACCATAACATATATAATTTTTTTAAAACTTTTTAATATCGTGAATTTTAAATTATTATGAATTTTAAAAATTACAATCCAGTAGCGTAAAATTTCTTTTATTGCAAGTAACACAAAAATTGGACAAAAAATAAAATATATATAACCTTTAAAAATGGTGTTTTTTGCATTGGAGTCAATGGGACGTGATTTTTGTATTAAAGTCAGTTATTATTGTCACCTCCTCTCTCCTCCTCTTTGTTTTTGTTTTGTTTAGTTTTTTTTTGTCTGCAAGAGGCTGATAACCCTTTTTTTTTTTTTTTTTTTTTTTTTTTTTTTTTTTTTTACCAGATGATATATCCGTGCATCACTAATTTTCACTTTTTTTGCAGCCAGTTTGTGATGACAAATACTTTATATTCCCTCTTTTCTGAAAACTCCAGGTTTTACAAATACTATTTGGTTTTTCCTTTTTGTATGTAATGTTTATAAAGGGCTTGTAGAGTTATTATTTTACAATAATGAACCATATCTATACAGTGCTGGCAGATCTCATTATCCGTTCTGAACACTTTCTGTCCTGCGGGTTAAACTAGAATGGACGCTTCTGAATTCTTTTAACCTTTTCTCACCCACCCAAGCATTCTCTTTACACAGTTTTAAACAACTAGGGGGGTGGAAAGGATTAGTGACCGTTTGACCACTGTTATGGTGGTCACTATTGGAAGCTGGTCCTTCTGGCAACTGCTCTTTAGTCCAGACTGAGAGCTGTCTTCTTCAGCTCAGGCTTTGTGTTAGGAGTGCGCAGCGAGTGCATTCTCAACAAATGCATATATTGGCCACCCAGCAATGCATATATGTGGCACGTGGGCATTATGGCTACCCTTTTGCCACCACACATTTGTTAGGCGGTCATAAAGGGGTTAGTGAGAGGAATCGGAGCCTGTCCTTACTTTGCCTGGGCATAGACTTAATTTGTCCATCCCCCACAGTTACTACCTTTTGTATCACTAGATCCTCCCTCCTAGATTGTAAGCTCCAAGGAGCAGGGCCCTCCCTCTTGTATTGAACTGTATTGTTGCTGTATTGTCTCCCACTATATTGTAAAGGGCTGAGCAAACTGTTGGCGCTATATAAATCCTGTATTATAATAATAATTTGATATTGTTGAGAGTATCTTGCAGTCTACCTAGACTTATTTTATTTTTTCTTTTCTTGGCATGCTGTGTGTGGGAACACACAACATATAGTGGGGTTTTCTCAAATTTGACTTCAAAAGTGGAAATGCATTTTAAACCCAATCCAGCAAGGGTTAAATGCTTAACTCTAGGTGATGAGCAATAAGATGCAATATTTGTCTCGCTCCCTACTCCAGCAGGCTCCCTCCGTGTGTGTGACCAACCCCACAAAGCCTCTTCTATAAGGCATTCAGGGCTGCAGTTGCATGTTGACATCAATTATGATGCAAGCTCAGTAGTCCTACTACACTAGTCCTAATACACTGTATGTGGATACGGCAAGGGACCACCCAAAAGCTGGACTGAAGTAGAGCACTGGCTTGAGAAGCAAGGTAAGTACGCCTCTTCCCTTTTTGAGTTTAATGAGAATTTAAACTTTCAATTGGAATGGATGTGGAGGGTCCGTACTGCTCCCTTTTTTTGTTTTTCTTTTTTTTTTTCTTCGTAATTCTTTGACTTTGGCTTTAAACTTTATTACATTAATGTTGCTTTAGTTGCCCTAATGATATACCACCACAAGAAGTAAATGAAAAAAAACCTTTGCCTGCATTTGGTTTTTGATGTGTACCAAGAAAAAATATTTTTAATCAGTGCTCCAAGCAAACAAAAAAAAAAACAAAATCATTCTGGATATGGGGAGCTGAGACAGGGGTCTCCCCACCTCTCCAAAGGGGGCTGTGTTCCATTGGCCCCCCCCACCCAAAGTGACTCCCATCACATGTACCAAGAAAAAAAAACATTTTTAATCAGAGCTCCAAGCTAAAAAAAAAAATAAAAAAAAATCATTCTCATTTTCCCCTTCTACTTGACTTACTCCTCAGTCCTGTAGCAAGAGATACTTTGGTCCTCTACTTCTTGATGTAGATGGTTATCCTGCCATGATACAAAACTCAGGATCAGTGGTGGCTGCTGGTTCTGAATTGTATTTGATATAAAACAAAAACGGGGCAGTCACACAACTGGTAAGTACAGAGGCTTTGTGGGACCTGTCATCTCAACAGGAACTGGAGTCAGGCCAGTGAAGTCAGATAAATTTTACTTGCATTCCCTTGACAAAAAACAATATTTTCTGCTTTCGCGAGGGAAGGGGGTGGTTGTTGGGTGGCACAATAAAAATTTTTTGCCTGGAGTTGGGTGTAAAGATGTGTTTTCTTTTCATTGCTGGGTGCTTGATCTGATGCCAGGACTCTTCAAATACTTCTGTGATAATGGTAGCAAAATGTTATCTCTGCAACAAATTCTAGGTCATTTGTGTTATTGATGCTTTTAATGGGCTTGTTGTTGCAGTATAGATCCTAATATATTGCTTAGCTCAGTAGCATTGCAACACAAGTGCCCAATATATTTACTTGGTAGACATTTATTTTAGAGGGCTTCTTATCGCTGTATTACATCCAGTAAGCATAGCTTGAATGGCTTTATCCTCTTTGGGGATGACTCCGGTATTGTTTGTAATACACAAAATGTTAGTGTTTCAGGGGAAACGTGTAGTACTGGTTCACACTAGAGTCTCACAGAATTGCATGACAAGAATTGGTGCTCATTCACATCAATGCGACTCAGCATGGTGCAATTTTTGGAAAAGGTTCTTGTGCTACTTTGTTGTGATTTACAGTGCCACTTGGCCCCACAGCATATGCAAAACATGCATGAAAGTCACACTACTTAATTGTGCTGAAAATCATGTCAAAATTGCATCACATTAGTGTAAACTGAGCCTTCCCCTGCAAATACGTATACAGTCTCCTTTGAAATTGTTTTTTTTTTCTTTTTTATGCTTTGCTATCAATAAAATTGGGATTATTCACATGTAATTACAAGTGTTCTGCGTGACCCGTTGTACTTAAGTTTCCATATTGCGGTGAAATGGTGGGGTTTTATCCACTACCTTGTTTACTTACTTTTCTGACAGCTGTAGCATTTAAAGAAAGTAAAACTGTAGCCAAAACTTTTTTTTTTTTCCATTTTTTGAATAGAGCAAGGGAGAGTTATAACTCCTGTCTGCTCTTCTTCTTTTTTTTTTTTTTTTTTTTTCCCATTTGTTTCCCAGAACCAAACAGTGAGGGGAAATCTCTGCAAATTAAATTTAAAGCGGAGTTCTACCTGGGAAAAAAAAAAGTCAGCAGCTACAAAAACTGTGGCTGCTGACTTTTAAAATACAGTCACTAAACCTGTCCCTCGGTCCAGCGGTGTCCTCACCATTTCTGGTTTCACCTCCCGTCTTCTCTCCCTGACGCCAGCATCTTCAGTGTGGGCACCCGGCTGTGACAGTTTGCGGCTTCACAGCCGGGTGCCCACTGTGCATGTGCGAGAAGCACTGCGCTTTGTGAATGGGCCCCGTAGTCTTCTGGAACCTGTCACGTGTCCCAGAAGACTACGGGGAGGGAGGGTAGGAGGACAACTTCCGATCGCATAGGAGATCGCAGTGGGAGTGGGTACCTGTCAAATTCAGGTATCCGCTCCTCCCCCTCGCTCCCCAAAAGTGCCAATCCTTAATGGGGAGCGGGGGACAAAGGCTTAAAATGGAACTTCCCTTTTTGGGTGGAGCTCCACTCTAAAGGAATTCCTCAGGGACCTCTAAGTCACCAGAATTGGGGTCCTCATTGGAAGATTTCCCCTCCTATTACTTTTCTGGGGACAAGTCAAAATTTGGGATCTTCTTTTACATTCAATGATGATGGTAAACGGGAGAAATGGAGAGGGTGAATCAGACAGACAGCAATAAAAATTGACAAGCATAGTAATCCATCTGTACTGTACTAAAAACTTGAAAAAAAAGAGTTTTTGCCTTTTTGTACTTTAAGCTTTAGCAATAAACATTGCTGGTGTATAGGCTTTTTTTTTTTTTTTTTAATAATTAATAAGTCTGCGTGTCTCTTTTGCATTAAAATCCTCTTCTGACTGCCAGTAATGTTTCTCCTAAATGTACACCAGGCTGCAAATGCCTTGGTGCCTGGATAAGTTGATTTCTGTGCATGCGCACAGGGGTTTACATCAACCCAGGCTACCCAGACAAGATACACGAATATGTTGGCAGTGAGGGAGCTTGTAGATGTCGCATCTCTGGAGGATGCATAAGTGCAGCAAAGTTTGACATGTGAAACTGCACTCAAATGCATGGTTATGTTTGCAGCATTAGAATAAATGACGTCCTCATTCTCATCTCTACATTTTCCATCTAGGGAACAAGTGAAAGCTTTCAATTAGTTACTAATACCATCTGCTAAACAAACCAACTGTGCTTGTTCCGTGCAGGGCGTAGCAACAAGTTTACTTTACCTTATCCCTTCCCAACAGCATATACTTGCTTTACTTTCTCTCCATGACTTCCCCATTAGGCTGCTGGGAGCAAAGGAATGTCCTCTATACCTGTAAGTACCTAGGTATTTCTATTGAATCCCAGCACTACGTGGAATGGCTGGGGGTGAAGTAAATTTTAAAGCCTAAATTTAATAAAAAAAAAAAAAAAATGGCACAATGGACATTACTATCATTGTGGTATATGTAACTTGTGCCTCTATCTGTTGGGTTAGTTGAAATGTTTCTCCTTTTTTCCACATTCCAAGTTTTTCCTAGGTCCCTCCCACGATGGTCACTTGCTCACGTCATTTCTGTTTGCAAGGACTTCTATTCAAGCGCATCAGATGACTGAAACCGCTGATCTCCTTCACTCCCAATGGGCTAGCATTCCTTCTGTTCTGGATCCTGAGAGGACCCCACCATTGGATAGCCAATAGGAAGTATTCACTTTATTCAGGCAGTGATGGGGACACCCAAAGAGGGACCCATGCAGGAAGTAAACGGAAGAGGAGTAGAACTCAAAGCTGCAGTGCCATGTGACTGCAGCTCAAAGCGGAACTAAACGGAACTGCTTAGAACCCCCAAACGTAAATGTTTGGGGGTTCTAAGTATTTTTCTAGCAACTAAAATGCTGATTTTTACATGTATGTGATGAGTGTCAGAATTGTCCCGGTATTGAAGCAGGTACAATGGCAGTTTTTCAGGTAACAGTTAATCCTTTGCTTTTTGTTATATACTTGTAATATTGTACTAAGCAGTTGTTGAAATAGCTTGGTATGTTTTATGTTTTTACATGCAATAATAGAACTCCCTGGTAAGAGCATGAAGAAAAGGAAATGTTGGTGTGTAGGACTTTTACAGAAGTTGAAATTGTAGAACTCATTTAAGAACAGAAGTTGGTGACTCACAAAGGGGACGTCTTTGTTTCCTCCTGTCACTGCTCACACCCAGATACTTATTTTAAAACGAGCCCATTAACCCCTAATATGAAAATACAAGTATGGTCAGCAAAATTAGAAATCCTCTTTCGGTGGTAGACAAATTAATGTAAAATTGAGCTGATAACAGGCAGTTAGGAGCCAAAGATGTTGTGTTTTTTTTTTTTTTTTTTTTGGTAACAATCTTTATGTAGAATTTTGTTGTGTGTGTGTGTGTGTGTGTGTATATATACAAAAAGGAAAACCTACATAACGGGCAACAGCTTAAACACAGACAGGATTTATAGTTAAACATTTTACGTAGCGATACAGAAATGTAGCAAACAATTTATAAACCATTGTTAGATGATAAGCTGAGCTAGCGAACCAAAGATGTATTTCAATTGGCAACAATGTACATTCTTTAGATTTAAGATGTCTGCCCAATAATGCTAGTAATCCCCTGGTTAGTAGGCACTAGCCGACTGCCACAAACATCTCTGTAAGAAATGGTTATAGACCCATCTGTGTTTTCCTCAAGTAACTATAAGTGGCTATTTGCTGGTATGAATTTTGCAAATATTCGTTATTCTTCCTGTGTTTGATGAATTGACAAATGTCTTCAGCATTTTTTGTTTGCTTTTAACATTTCATTTTGGAAAGCATGGACTTTCCCAAATGAAAACTACAAATTTTGTGGTTTGCAACTCATTTGGTAAATGTTTTCTATCCTGCTCCTTCTAATTTTCTCCTTGCTGCAGTCAAAAATGAGCATCAAATTGACCCCACTAACAATTAAAAAATCGAATAGGGCCAAAAAAAAATCTTCAGATGAGAAGACTTCCAAAAGTGTAACTCTCTTAAAGGGTTCTTTTTTGTTTTTGTTTAAAACATTTCATATTTACCTGCTGTGTGCAGTGGATTTGCACATAGCAGCCCTGAACATTCCCTTTTGGGGTCCTCTGCTGGCACTCTTGGCTATTTCTCTTCTCTGTGTGCCACCATAGGAAGTCACTTCCTATGGTAGTACCCTCAGGCTCGCTCCCATATGTTAGGTGCAGGGGTGGACTGACAACTCATGGGGCCCCCGGGCAATAGGGGATCATGGGGCCCCTGTGTCCTTGGCCAAACTCAAAAAAGCCTATGAAAAAGAAACCAGGGGCATCTCATGGGGCCCCTACTGACCCTGGGCCCTCGGGCAGTGCCCGAGTTTCCAAATGGTCAGACCGCCCCTGGTTAGGTGGTCGTAAAGGGGTTAATTTACAAAAGAAGGCACTGGCAGTGAAAAGCTTACAGATTGCTAAAAAATTTTTTTCCTTTTGGACCTTTCTCAGCCAAGAAAAGAATTTATTTAAGTGTATGTAAACGTGTGTATATATTAACCTTGCCTACCGGGTACTTTTACCACCTTCATGTCCAGGCCAATATTCAGCTTTCAGCACTGTTGCACTTTGACTGATAATTGTGCGGTCATGCCACACTGTACCCATATGAATTTTTTTTTTTATATAATGTGTTTTTTTTTTTTTTTTTTCACCAAGAGAGATTTCTTTTGGTGGTATGTATTCACCACTGGGTGTTTATTTTTTGCACTATAAACAAAAAAAAGCAAACAATTTGAAAAAATTTGCACTTATATTCGCACTGAGGTGGTACGGATAGGTGGTACTGATAGGTGGCACTGATGATGCTGCACTGACTGGCAGTGCTGATGGGGGGGAGGGGGCACTGGTGGGTGGCACTACTGGGTGGCACTTTCACGGTACTGATCATCAGGGCACTGATCAGTGCCAATCTGTTCTGTGACAGCTGCCGGTTATTAAAGTTAGGAAAGTGCTGCCAATAACTGGCAACTGTATTTACTCATTGATCTGCTGTGTCATTGGACACAGCTGATCAGGTGGTGAAAGGCCACTGTGATTGGCCTTTTACCTCATTACATGATCAACTGTGTTCGCCGGCGGCGTGCCGCAGGGCGCATTCCGGGAGGATGTCATATGACGCCCTCCCAGAACTGGACAAGCACGCTGTAGCCATCATTCGGCTATTGCGAGTTAAGGATGTAGTTTAAAAAGCAAAACTTTACCTTCTATTCGCCATGTTCAATATTCTCACCAGTTGAAAGTAAATCCCAAATTATGGGTCGTCCCCAGAACAGTAATAGAGGAGAAATCTTCCAGTAGGGACACTGGTTCTGATGAACATGGTGACAACCTGAATATTTCCTCTCATTACCTGTTTTTGTCATGGCACAGGAAGTTAAAATCTCTCCAGTAGAACACATGGAAGGAAAAACCTGTCAGGGGCTATAACCCTATTGTACTGTATCCAAAATGGGGGGGGAGTTTTGTCTTTAGTTCTATTTTAACAATTCTCTCTTCTTATTTGGCGCTCTTTTGGTCCACTGAATGTGTAATTGGAATAGTTAGTTTTTATGTTTTTTATCAACACATTCTTGTTGATCCTGCCATTAGTGGTGCTGCTTGCACTTTCTATCAGTTCTTGTATCGAAGGACTACCAAACTCCACCCCTATTATAGAGAGGAGTAAGGAAGGTAGGTCTAGAGACTAGCCCATAGATCATGCAGTTTTCTTTCCTTCCACCACGGGTGGCAGGACGGAAAATTGTTTCATTCTGCCATCAACACTGTCAAGGGAATGCTTCCCGCAGTGCTATTGTCTTCTGCCAGCAGAGCACAATGATCACTGCTAGCAGTTGTAGCCACCAGCAGTTATTGCATGACAAAAATGTGCCTGGCTGGTTGTACTGATGTCAATCAAAGGATCAAGATCACTACAACCAGCCTGCACATAGATGGTTTGAAGAGTGAGTGTTGTCACTCTAGGACAGGAAGTAGGTTTCTGGTGTGATCACTGGGTGAAAGAAAGGGAGTAAAAATGTGAAAAAGAACAAATGTAGTCACCACATCTAAGGATTGGTTAGCTGCAGTATGTTTTCTCTTGGGTTTACAGTATACTTTAACCACTTCAAGTCCGGACACTTTTACCCCCTTCCTGTCCATGCCAATTTTCAGCTTTCAGTGCTATCACACTTTGAATGACAATTGTGCTGTCATGCAACACTGCCCCCATATGAATTGTTTAGCATTTTTTTAGACAGAGAAAACTTTATTTTGGTGGTATTTATTCACCACTGGGATTTTTTCTTTTTTGCTATATAAAGGAAAGTCCAAACACTTTGGGGAAAAAAAAAGTGTTTTTCCTATACAATTTTCCAAATAAATAATCTTTCTTCATAAATCTTGGCCAAAATGTATTCAGCTACCTGTTTAGTAAAAAAATAAATAAATAACCCAAATTAGTTTATAATCCAAAATTATAATTTTTTTAAAAAAGTGTGTGTGTGTGTGTGTGTGTGTGTGTATATATATGTGTGTGTGTGTGTGTATATATGTGTGTGTGTGTGTGTGTGTATATATATATATATATATATATATATATATATATATATATATATATATATATATATATATATATATATATATATATAATATATAACATACTGTCACCCTAGCAGTACAGTGTCTCAATAGCGACACTGTACTACTTGTGGGGGGTGATGATTTTTTTTTTATTTTTTTTTTTTTTTTTTTTTTTTTACACTGATTGCTTTTACACCCATAAAGGTTGTAAAAGCAATAATTTCTCCTTCTCTCTGGCTTTATTTTTGCAGCCATTACGAAATACTGTGAGCTATGTGATTGGTCACAGCTTGTAACATGGTAAAAGGCTCTTTTGAATATTCACAGATTTCACAAGCAGTAAGCAATGATGTCAGGAAGTGACATCTTGTTTACTACTATTCATGTGATCACTGATTGGCCAATGAATCGGGACCTCGCACAGAGGTCCCGTACAGCGATCAGTGTCCGGGCACAGAGGGCACCAGATCGCGGTGCCGCACGCTCCCAGGGAGTGTGCACAGGCAGTGACTGCGAGGGCAGTTTATAAACGGCTACCCACTTCGGCACTGCTTCCATCTGGCCGTTAATGTACATGGGCCAGACGGGAAGTGGTTAATTGTCAGTACACCAGTTCATGAGGGCATTTGTTTTGTAACCTCCACCAAACAATGGCTTGATATATTTCTTAGGAACCATTTACTTATTCCAGTAGATGAGTCACAGGTTACATTATCTTATTTGTAAATGATCACTTATATTTAGAGAAGGGTTGACTCATTATTGGAAATGAGTTTTTAACCACTTGCCTACCAGGCACTTTTACCTCCTTCCTGCCCAGGTCAATTTTCAGCTTTCAGCATTGCACTTTGAATGACAATTCACAGTCATGCAACACTGTACCCATATGAAATTTTTATAATTTTTTTTTTCCCACAGAAATGAGAGCTTTCTTTTGGTTGTATTTAATCACCACTGGGTGTTTTTTTATTTTTTGCTAAACGTAAAAAAGACCAAATTTTTTTTTGGGGAAAAAAGTTTTTCCATTATAAAGTTTAGCAAACAGGTAACTTTTCTGCTAGACTGATGCGGCTACACTGAGGCGGCACTGATGAAGTAGCACTGGCAGCACTGATCGACCCTGATTGGCATTGCTAGGCAGCAATGATGGGCACTGTTGGGGCTGCACTGTTTGTCAGTGTATATGTCCCCTTTAACACTTGCCGGTAATCAGCAGTACTTTCTTCACATTGTGAGATTACTGTTGATAACCAGCTAGTGTGTTTGCATCAGCTGTGATTGGACACAACTGATCACCTGGTAAAGGGCCGCTGGAATTGGCTCTTTACCGTGATATGAGATCAGCTGTGTCTGAACACAGCAATAACAGAGAGCAGGGGGAGTAGTTCTGGGAGGACGTCAACAGACACCAATAGGAACCCTCTCAGAACCAGGCGACCGCGCTGTAGCCATCATTTGGCTATAGCGCGGTCGACAAGTGGTTAAATACTATACTGCTCAGTCTCTTATTGTCTGTCAACAGCTGAAGGATAGTGTGATGGAAAGGGGTTTTTTTGTCAATAAAGGAAAGAGGTTGGTTTTAGTCACGGTTTCCCCTGTGCGGGAAATAAACATGTTGCTGGGTCTACTATTGCCTTGATTTTTATGAATATTTTGGATCTTAAAATATGGTTTTATTTTTTTTCCTTGCATCGTATACTGGTTCTTTCTTTTAAGACCTCACACAGGGCTTTTGTGCAGCTGCCTCTGGGGACGTCCAGGGTTTTTTTTTTTTTTTTTTTTTCCGTTTTTTTTGTTTTTCTGCCTCTTCACTCCCCTGCATGTAAGCCTATGTGTCCATACACACAGCAGCGTTTAGAGGCAGGAAAAATCCCACTGCCAGTGTGTGCAAGAGCAGCAGGGTCTTGGCAGAAAAAACACTTGACGCGCATTTAACTCTAGGCGCATTTAGCACTTGATTGTTAATTTTCATTGGCCAGATTAAATAATTGAAATGAATGCCTATACGCTTGACACCTGTAAACGTGCCTAAACACTTGTATAAGCATTAGACACTTTTACAAGCATCTGGTGGTGTTTTTTTTTTTTTTTTTTTTTTTATGCCAAATCACTTCTTCTGTTTACAGTGTTTGGAAAACATCCGGTGTACATGAGGTCTAATGCGAAATGATATCTCTATCTTCCAATACTAGAGAAGTATTTCTATCTCATGTACTGTATTTAAGTGGAATTCAAGGAAATTTCAGCGTTCGTCAGTGCGAACACTTGTGGCCAGTGGGCACACACAGATGTAGCAAGCAGGTTTGTTTTGAATAAAAGTTTACCAGGAGATATTGTCGGAGTGCGTGCTTCATTTTTATCGTGTCAGTGTACTGTGGGGTAAGGACATGTTCTTTTGGGAACTGACACTTGCGGGTTTGATTGGTATGTAGTCTTTGGGACTTTGAATAGCACTGTCGGTTTTGGAGCTCTTTACTTGATGAATTTGACACAAAATATGCTCCTTTTAAGCTGGCCATACATTAGTAGATTTTTGAACAAATGTTTGTATGCACATTCGTATGAAAATTGTCAGTACATTGGATGATTTTGGCAAATGTTGTTTGAATATAATTAAGTGTTCTTGCATGGCAAGACCACTTACTGTTATCTCACATATATATTCTTATTATTATAGCCAAATTTACCACCCTAACTCCTCCCACAGCTTTTACACTATATAGACAGTAATATACCGAAATGTGCGGATTGTTCCCGATTGGTGTGCTATTGCTTTGTGGAACGTTTCGCCGAATGGGTCACGAAATATCAGCGTTTTTGTGGTGAAATTGGTCCCATAGGAATGAATGGCGGAATGATCAAAGCTAGAGTGGGAGCTGACAAAAGCTAGAGTGGGAGCTGAAAAATCAGGACATGATTTCTAAACTGCCATCACTCCCTCATTTTCAAGCCCACCTACACAAATCGTATATCAAAACGTTCAGCTGTCCCTGCTGCCACTAAAAATGTCCACGGCTAAGCCATAGTCCTGATAGTTTTCACAATATGACCATTTGTTTGCAACTCACGCCACTCATTGACATTCATTGAAACTCCACTCTAGCCACCTCAAATTTGAAGGGCAATTTCTAAACTGCGATTGTGACTTTTTAGTTTTAATATTTCAGAGACATACTATGCATCAAAATGTAGGTCTGGGTCTTGTAATTCTCACAATATAAAGCTCTTCGGTGTAGGACTTATATTTTTTAAGCTACAACCGTTTGAAGATGGCAACCGCCAGTGAAGTGAGCAAGTTGCAGCAGTTTGTTTTTCACCGCTCTTCTCTGCCCTTGCTGTAGAGTGAGTTGCCATAGGAACCCAGGTGTGTGAGCATGCAGCAGAGTGGAGAGTGGAGCAAGAACACTTCATGCAATTTCCCCAGAAATTGTAGCTTTTCTAGTTTGAAATATTATGCACTTTCAAAACGGAACTAAACTCATTGATTTTAACAGTTTAAAAAAAAAAGGGTAATTCCTGGCACGTGCCATGAATAACTGTTACATTGGCTTGTGCTCTCAGCCAAAGTGTCAAGTGTCATGAAATGGATGGTGTCATGTCTGATATCATGTGCAGCACTGTGGCAGTTGAAGATCAGACCAAGGCTAAGATGGCAGCTTCCTTGGCTGAAAACTATAGTGGCTTTAGTTCCGTTTTAACTTCAGATTTGGGCATGAATGACATTTTCCAAGTGGAAACCACATACACTGTTAGGCCTCGTTCACATCATATGTGCAGAAAAATTGATGGAAACTGCCGCGCAGATTTCATTTGCAGAGACATCAGTTTTCATACGCGT